AAAAAAAAAAAAAAAAAAAAAAAAGAAGGAAGAAGAAGAAGAAGAAAAGAAAAACAAAAAACAACAAGTGTATCTATATTAAATTGAAAACCCAACAACAATAACAGGTGGAAGCAAATGTGATTTCCTCCAGCTTTCTTGTGGTAACAGAGTCCAACTCCAGCTTTGCTGCCAATGGGGAGAAGAAACAAAAGATATTAAAAAGAAAAGACAGGAGTGAGAGAGAGAGATTTGTTGAGATAGAAAGGAAGAAGGAAAGCATAAAAAATGAAAACTCCTACTGAGTTGAATCAGAATCAAAATAAAAAATGGAAAATGAAGCTAAAAAGGCTTACATTTGCACCGCCCAATCACAAAAGAGCCTACACTCTTTTGCTTCTTAGCCCATCCTAAGAGATTCTTCTTCTTCATCATCATCATTGTTGTCGTCATCATACATTTCTTCTTTTTCTTCTTCTTCTTCAATGTCAGTGTTGCTGTCACAGTGAAATTTACAGAAGGTAGAAAGGACATCCTTTGCATTGGATTGGTCCCATTCCAATGATTCCCAACGTTCTTTTGTGTCTACCCAATTTGTTTGAGGGAAGGAGGCTGGCCATTGTCAAGTGAGGAAAGATGCAGAGGAATCTTCTTTAGCTTTTTACAGTTGCGAATCAGCAGAGCGTTCATGGAATCACAAATCAACACACTTGAACTGCTACAGATGCTCTTCAATTCGGGCAATCGAGATAATTCTAACCTTTGGAGCTTGGGTAAAGTGATTTTTTCTAGGGCTTCTTTTTCTTCATAGGTTGATGATGATATCAGCTCCTCCATTTGGCCACAGAGATAAACTTCAATAGTCTCTAGAGATTGGAAGTAGCCAAGCAGCAATTCAGATGAGAATACTTTCTTTAATTTAAAGCATGCCGACACATTAATTGTTTTAAGAGTGAAAAAGTTGGTGGGAGGGGTCGATAAACCAAGAACTTCTTCATCAAACAGAGATTTCAGATTATCTAACTCGCAAAGCTCTAGATGCTCAAAGGGCTAGAAGTGGGTTAAACCCTGTCCAAAAAACACTCTCTATTCTTGGGCACCACCCAATTTCAATCATTTTGAGGGAATCACAGATCAAGACAGTAGTAGAGCCACTGTAGATGCTATTCAATGCGGGCAAAGCCTTCAATACCAACCTTTCTAACTTTGGTAGAGTGAGTTTTTCTAGGGCTTTTTCTCCTTCTTCTTCATATTCGGACCATATTATCTCCTCCATTTGATGACAATGTATAACCTCAATGGTCTGTAAATTCTGGAGATACTGCAACAACCTAAGCGGCAATAACTTCTTTATTTCTTCACATCCCCAAACTTGAATTTTTTGAAGAGAAGAAAAAGTGCCAGCTGGCAACGGTGCTGACTTGGCAACTGCTTCTACTGCCCCAACCACTGCATTCAATTTTTCCAGAGCATAAAGGTATAGCGACTCAAGGTTTTGGAGCGGCTTTAAGCAGCGCAAGGAAACTCAAGGCCATCACATCGATCAACGGTGCAGTGCCGCAAGTCGGTTGCTTGTTGAAAGCCAGAAATGTCGTCCAAGCTTCTCACATCCTTGCAGTCCAAGATGTAGAAGTCTTGTGCATCAGATGGTAACCAGTTAGGCTCCTCACATATATCAATATGACAGCATACAATTGATTTCATAACATTTGAAAAGGTTTTGTTATAAAGGCAAGAATCACGTGGACTGTAGCTTCCAACAGAAATTGTGTATTGATTTAAAAACTTTCTTTCAGACTTAGCAAAGAGGGTCATATCATCTAGCGTAGACAACCGGCCATCAAGAGATTCCAACTTGCTTAATCTTCCAATCTCCTCCCACTTCAATGGTATCCTCAAATCTACTCCTAAATACTGAAGTTTGGAGAGATTTCGCAACAATCCGTTAGGTATATCAGATAACATTCCACCAAGCCAAAGATATTTTAGTTTGGTTAACATGTTGAGGCCTTGGGGTAGTTCTTTAATTGATGTCCCATAAAGGTTTAACTTTTTTAAGCCTCCAAGGTTGGATAAAAATGGTACCTCTTCTAAGGACTCACAATTCTCCAATAATAGTGTAGTAAGACTCTCTAATTTAAAAACAGAACTCGGCAGCCTAAGTAGGTTGTGATTGCCAGAAAGATCAAGGATCTTCAACCCAGGCATATGATAAAAAAAGGCTTCGGGAATTGTTGTAATATTGTTTTTGGACAACAACAAGGTTGTGAGCATTGGACACTTGGGAGACAGCATACTTGAAGGAAATTCTCTTATTTGATTCTCCATTAGAGAAACCTTCAAAAGATTTTTTCTCCCTTCAACCTCTTCTGGTAGCTCTTCCAAGGCCATGCCAGCTTTCACCATGAATTGAGGATGAATAATATTCAATACCATTTCTCGGAGAAGATCATGCATACTCACCCAATCGTCTTTGTTTTTGACTTTAATCATTTCATGCAGTCTCACCTCCATATATTCTTCATCAACTTCTTTAACTGATTCCAACATGCAATTGTCTATCAATTTCTGAATAATAGAATGGCCCTCACAAGTCATTAAGTGCCGAGACCCCTTTTCATCTGTTATAAATCCCTCATCAATCCAAAACTCAATCAACTCCTCTTGTTGGATATAATGATCCTCAGGATACAATGCACAGTATAAAAAACACTTCTTGTATTGTTCTTCTAAGTGATCATAACTAAATTTCAAACGATCAACAATTTCTTTAGATTTGCTCAATTCTTCATCTGCCATCTCCCATGAGTAACGATCAGACTTTCCTCTCATGGTTTTTGCCACCACCCCAATAGTAAGGGGTAAACCATTACATTTCTTCAAAATCTGATTCAAAAAAGGTTCTATATCACTTTTGTATCTGGGATAGGACACCACCTCACTTCCAACTTTGTCCAAGAATAATGCTAATGCTTCATCATCTGGAAGAGGCATCACAGGGATCACCTCACACTCCATTGCACGACCAACCTCTTGTTGTAACCGTGTCGTTAGCACTAACTTGCAACCATTATTTCCAACTAGATCAGGGATTCCAACATGTTCTAGAGAGAAAGGCTCCCACACATCATCTAGAATTAAGACATGACTACCTTGTTGCAATCTATCTGCTATCAATCCTGCAAGCTCTATTTCATCTTGATCTGCATTCTTCAAATCTAATTGCAATTTTCTTGCAATGCTCTTCTGAAACTTGAGAATATCAAACTGTTTTTTTTTTGCTGGACAACAATATCAAAGTCCTTTGATACTTTAACCCAAATAACTTTCTTGGATTCTTTCAATAGTTGGTTGTAGACTTGCTGCATGATAGTTGTCTTGCCCACGCCACCCATTCCACAAACTGCAATTCTTGTAACCTTGTCTCCCCTCAATAGTTGCAAAATTTCTTCTTGTACATCATCCCGTGCAATGCATTTTTCAGCAAGCATTGTAACTCCTTTTTTTGAGTGATCATCTATAACCAAACTCACACCAACATTAGTGAATTCTTTTCCTTCCTCAAGTGTTTGCTTCAATTCTTCAGTCTTTTCTTCGATGTTGGTTGATGAGGAACACTCTTGCTTCAATTCTTCAATCTTTTCTTCGACGTTGGTTGATGAGGAACACTCCCCTTGGCTGATCAAACCTTCAACCTTCATGGTAACTTGTTGGCTTGCTTTCTTCAGCCAGTCTTCGACTTTGTTCCAGGCAATCTTTCCAGGTTGCCTAAGTTGAGTCTGCAAATCTACCTCAATTTTTTCCTTTACCTGCTTCACCTCTTTTTGCTTATCTTCAAATACACTCACACGAGACTGGATTGAATGATCATCCATGACCAAAATCGCACCAGTATTAGTGTATTTTTCCCCTCGCTTAAGTATCCCCACTTCCAGTGCTTGAGTCTCTTTATCGAGCTTTCTTGATGAGCAAATATATGTGAAACAACCCCCTTTGCAGATCATATCATCAATCACCTTTTCAGAAATTTCTTGGCGCGCATCCTCTAGCCAAGTTTCAACTTCCTTTTTTGTAATCTTTCTGGGCTGCCCAAGCTGTGTCATCAAGTTTGCGTCAACG